AGAAAATATAAATTACTATCGAGGTCTTTACTGAATTGGTTTGGGTTCTTCTTGATGACGTCTCTTTAAATATAAGGAGAAAATTGTGAATGCAAATAGATGGCGCACCTGCACATTTTTCATATTACCGATGAATGACAACCGGTTGTCCTACCTATGACACACTGATGAGGACTAATAAGTCCGAAACCGGTCTGTGCCTGGTGGGACCAGCTGATGAGCGATCCTAGCTGTTGTACTGGGTGTCGCGAATGTAATTCAATGCCGGTAGGGGCAAATAGCCCTCGGAGTAGTTGTTTTTCGCGGCACTGACGACTTACATTGTGTTTCGCCCTCTATAGGCGACATTCGTGCAATAAAGTACCTGGCAAATTTTAGCAGGTCGCTTCCACCGTAGTAGCCATTTGAATGGCATAGTGGAAGTCAGCGCGATAGATGGAGCCTTTGTGCTTCGCGTACTATAGACCTTATATTATTTATTCTATTACTCTATTTTTATTGCCAATGAGAATTATCACAAAATATTTAATTATATAATTTACAGATAATCGCGTTGATAAGGAATAAAATTAATTATATCGACGCTTTAGTATGAAAATATGCTATCTCAGATTTCGGTTGGAAAATATGCTATCTCAAATTAAGCTTAGAAAACATGAACATGCTAGCTCAGATCTTTAATATTCCTTACTTTTTGAGAAAAGTTTATTATAAATGCACGGTTTCAATCATTCCAATTTCATGCCAATTTAAATTTCTAGTCAAACTGAAATAGCATGTTTTCCAACCGAAATCTGAGATTGCATGTTTTCGTACTAAAGCGTCGATATAATTAATTTTACTCCAATCACAGCCGGTGAAACAGAATGTTGTGTTTTAATGTAATCTTGACCTTATCGTTTTAATAATTTTTAATTTAACCGAAATTTTATTGCGAACATGAAGGAAATAAAATTACTGTTCCAAACAAAATTACTGGTCACATGGCTTGTAATAATTTATGAACACTCTGTATGATTAAGTACACAAACATTCAGGGCTTCAGGAAAAGTACCCCAAGTAAATAGAGTGTTTCACTTAATTCCTCCGTCTTCAGAAAGGGCTGAGATAAGTTAAAAAATAAGTAAAACAAATATATGACCTACTCCAGGCTGGATATAAATGGATAGAATGTCTATTCTTTTACGTTAAGAAAAGCTTCTGTCATTTTCTATTTATCAATTGTCACATTTGATATCTTACCCATCCCCCTGTTGTCCAAATTAATAGTTCAGAAAATACTTGACAGGAGAGCAGTCAGGACTAACAAATCCTGGAGCAAACGTTTCAAACATCTTAAACTATTCCTGAATACTGCTCAGTGTTGCTATATATCAATGACCTCTCACAAACATAAAAATTCTCTATAAACTAGCAAAAATTTATATTCTTAAGAATATATTTTATTTTTACTGCAAAAGGTGTGCATTTATTAAACAAGGTAAGGAATGATTCTTTGAGTTATTTTAAACCAAAAAGGTTATATTAAATGGATCCATAAATTGATAGTTTCTGAAATACATGATGTTGAAATTGAGCTTTTCTAAAATGGCTCTGAAGACATTTGATATAGAATGATGAAACTTCTGTTATTTGTAACTCCCGGTAGCTCCGCCACTGATATACATTTTTATATTCAAATTTAGGAGATATTTACCTTCAACTAGGTAAGTATTAGCCTAAGTTTCATTATTCTGCATCAAACATCTTTTAGTTTTCAGAAAAAGTGTTTTCTTTTTTAATTTCAACACTGTGGTATCTCAAAAACTATTGATTTGTGAACCCATGTTTATATAATCTTCTGGGCTTAAAATTACTCAAAGAATTGTCCCTTAAATTTGTTGACGTATTTAATTAAAATCCTGTACAGTATCATGGGAGTCAACTTAATAAACTGTCCCCCTCAATGTCGAAATTCTCAATCGTATTTAAATTAATGGGTTGAAATGCAACGGGCATATGCTTTAGCCATATAAAGCATGGAAATGAAAGAGAATGAAAATAGGAGCAGAGACTGTGAATACATATTAATCATCAGGCAACATTCCAATATCGATAGTCGATCTTCAATTCTTGCCATATTTATGTCTAATCTAACATTTTCATATAAGGACTGCACTAAAATCTAAAAGAACTTTTATCTGTAGCTCAAGACGCAGGAAGATTTAAGGAGGAAATAGTCCCAATTCCGGTAAAAGTAAAAAAAGATACTGTAAATTTTGAGATTGATGAACATCCAAGACCCCAGACTACAATTGAAGGTTTAAAGAAACTCCCTACCTTATTTAAAAAAAATGGAGTAGTAACTGCAGGATCAGCTTCGGTAAGGAACTTAATTATTATATTTTTTACCTTTAACGAAATAAGTTATTGGTGTCCAAAATAGGAAGTATTCAAATTTAATGAATGAAAACTTTTTATTAGTAGTACTGCCAATTTTTCAATTACAAGAAAATTAATGCTGTAAAAACTGCATAAATAGACTTGAACTGACTAATTAAGTTAAATAACAAATTATGATTTTAAGTTGGATCAGGATTTAAGCAAGTAGTCACTTATGTTGGATAAACATTATTGTGACATAATATAAAATTATTTATTATTAGTAAATGTATAATTTTAGGGTGTCTGCGATGGAGCAGCAGCTGTAGTCTTAGCCAGTGAAGAGGCTGCAACAAAACATAATTTGAAACCACTGGCAAGAATACTGGGCTATTCTGTAGTAGGAGTAGAACCTTCTATAATGGGCATTGGTCCTGCACCTGCTATTAGAAATTTACTGAAAGTAACAGGAAAGTCATTGAATGACATTGATTTAATTGAGGTATTTTTTCTATTAACTAATTTTTATTCAAATTTCTCATTTAATTTTTTTTTTTAGATCAATGAAGCTTTTGGTGCTCAAACTTTGGCATGTGCCAAAGAATTAAATTTAGATTTAAGTATATTAAACGTTGATGGAGGAGCTATTGCATTAGGACATCCTCTTGGTGCTTCAGGTTCCAGAATTACTGGACATCTCGTTAATGAATTAAGGTAGGAAAACATAACCTATTAATTTTTTATTAAACGGTTTTAGGTAAAATATTTCTAAATGTGTAACAATTAAAATTATTTAATATTAATATTTATTTTATTTCCAGGAGAAGGAAAGCTAAACTTGGTATTGGATCGGCTTGCATTGGTGGAGGTCAAGGAATCGCTGTGATGGTTGAAGCTTTATAAATAGAAGACTTTATTAAAAGACTTATAAATATATCTATGAATTATATGTACTATATGCCTCTTGTAATTTACACATATCAATAAATATATATTTTTTTCTATACCAAAATATTATCTGCTGTCAATAGTACAATCAAAAATATATTTTTGTATCAGAAGAATACTTATTGCCAATTATATCTTCCTATACCTATAGCTATACTTGCAGGCCCGGATCCAGAGACTGGTTTTGGGGGTGGCGTAAAGCACTTCTTTATCATTATTATTATTATTATTGTTGTTGTTGTTATTTTTTTGATGACGTAAGGTGTAGGTTAGGAAGGGGGACTTGCATTAATATCGACTAACTGCCTGTTGTCGTTTGGAGAAATTGAAGATCTTTAAAAAATGTTGTGCTTTGGGGGTGGCAATCGCCACATCGCCACCCCCTCTGGATCCGGGCCTGTATACTTGTGTTTCAAAATAGTTTCATAAATAAATCAAATCACAATTTTAACAAGTTCTTAATGTGATAAAATGATTTTGTGAATGTTCCATGGATATTATTATGTGCTGTTCATTTTGCAGAATGTATTATGTTCAGCCTGCGTCCACACTTGGAACTTTTTATTATAAGCGCTCATTTATATCTGTTTCATTTCTTAATGTGTAGGTTTCCAGCTTAAACATTTCTCTTCATGTTACACGCGTATACGTTTTAAAAAATGAAACATCTGCAAGTGTTAGACGCTAATTTGTTAATAATCAACAGGGTAGTCTTACATGAGCAAACTTAGCAGATCAAGAACTTTATATATTAAATAATGTTTTGTTTATCAGGGAACCGTCGCCGCCCCCGGAGGCGGCAACCACGTCGGGGGCGGCGAAAACATGCAGATACATCTGTTTCGTCAATCTCATCGTGTTCTACGTCTCGAGTTACCCCTGTAGCCCAAATTTCAGATTTTTGTTCCAAAAAGGGTGGTACAAAATTTTTGGACTTTGTCGTTTTTTTTTATGATTACGGCTCCGGGGTCTGGTCCCTAACTTTGTTCAGAATCGACGAAAAAATCTGAAATTTGGTATGGAGGCATAGTGAACGATGATCTACCGATTGCCTATATCAGCTATACCGTCGCCGCCCCCGGGGGCGGCAATCACGTCAGGGGGCGGCGAAAGCATGCAAATACTTATTTTTCGGCAATCTCACCGTGTTCTACGCCTCCAAATACCCATGAGGCCAAAATTTCAGAATATTATTCGAAAAACGAGTAAAAAATTTTTGGACTTGGAATTTCATACTTCTTTTTTATTGTTTAACTGGAAATAAATAATACTTTCATGTGTTTTTTTTAATCTTTTATTTGAAAAATAACTTATTTTGAAAGCAATAATGTATATACATACATTATTGCTTTCAAAATACATTTTTTCCAAATTTATTATGTTCTGTAAAAAATTAAACCAATGTTGTGTGCGAATTGTACTCGAGTAACATTCTTGCAAGACTTGCAAAATATCACTTTTCAGTAATATTACAAATAAAGGTAGTTTATTCTCGTGACATTTATTTTTTATTTCTGGACACCCCCGTACTTAATCATTTGTTAAGTTTCACCATGGCAACCACATTTTAAATTCAAGCAAAATTTTTTATGAAATAAATAAACTTTATGAAATAATAATTATGAAAAATACCTAGAAAATTTTTTCAGGACACTGCAATGAGCGAAATTTTTAGAAGTTTGCACATATTTTCTGAACATCCTGTAAAAACTATAATGAAACGTTGTATTTACGCATTTCAGGTGTGATCAAATCGAAAATGCTATCCAATTTTTCACATTTGACATAACATATACAGACGCCAAAAATGAAAAATTAAGCTTAGCTAGTAGTAGTACGTGAATAAGAGACTTTGTTTTCCGGCAATATTGAAAAAAGATATTTTTCAAGCCTACAAATTACATTCAATAATAATTGATGAATGTTTCTTTTTCAAAAACACAAGACAATTTCAATAGTAAACATTACATGAAAATAATTTTAATGTATTTTTTCGTCATTGCACATTAGCCTCCATATATCCACCTTCCCTTTCCATACAGGTGTGGTGTGGTCGTTGTTGTGAAAAATTATTTTGAAACATTTCTAATAATGACGGGATTTATTGTATCTTCCCTTGTCTCCCTGATTACTCTCTCCAAATAGTCAATATTTTGAAAAGGCCCTTGCAGGTATACCTTTTAAATACATACCCTCATAAAAGATAATCGAAGAAGGTCAGATCCAGTGACCTAGCGGGCCAGAAAATGTGAGAATATCTATAAATTATTTTTCCATTAAAAAGATTACTTAGATATNTAAACGCTTTTTAAAACGAAAATATTCAAATTGATAGCGGCGATATAGCGCTTTGACAGATGACGTTTAAGTTCATTTGCTATACGCTACGCCCTACGTCCAAATTTTCAGAACCAACTTGACCACGTTTTTATTTGAACGCTCGTTATATGTGGTTTTTGTTGATCTGAGTTTCATTGTTTTGGTCCTTGTAAATTATATATGTGTGATCTTCACATAAGGCTGAGCTCAGAGATATTGCGATACTTGAATGGGCACTTTACTTCTATAATTGCATTATCTCCAACTAAGCCATCAGGTGAAGCACCCAAAAATCCGCACATATCCATCCACAAACCTGTTGGTACCACTTGAAGACCCATGGCTAAGGTAAAAGCGTCAAGCCCTAATTCTTCGTGCTGCAGCCCCCACTGGACTGCCTGTACTCCAGTCACATCGTAATCGTAGAAGATTCTTGAATAGTGAAGGAGGATATCGGTCCCTCTTACAGGCAGGCAAAACTTCCCCAAAGTGGCTGGCTGTTAAGCGGTACTTGCGAGCCACAAGCCAATTGGGATTCTTTGATTGCGCAATTGTTGACTGCGTAATAGAATTCCTGACCTCTTCAGTAATGGCGAGTCTATTACATACAAACAGCGCTTTGTCTTCTGCTTCAATAAAGGCAACTGAATAAATTATGCAGTCAATATCTGGTATGATGAAAGCTTCCGATTGAGGTTCGGGTTGTAGCAGCCAAGAAAAGCCTACAATGTTTCCATACAGATTGACTTGGAAATTTTTTATTTCTTCTGCAGTTGCCACTCGTTTGACAGCACAAAAGTCAGCTTTCTTTGGAGGAAAGATGTCCTTCAAGGCCTTATGGTCTGCTCCTCCGGCCTGCTTTGGAATGTTCCACTGACATGCCTTATCGATAACGCTTACATTATGGTATGCATGTATACATAAAGCTGCCATGTGGTGGCAAATCACTTGTCCCCTTGGACACTGGCAAGTGGCATCCACTATCCCTCCATCCAAATCGATGCAAATCTAGAAGATAACCTTATAAATATTGAATTTTTCAACTACATTGAACTACAATTTACCTCCACATTATAACTTTTATTTTTCATGCTAGCCATAACCTTTCCTGTTAGCACAGCTGGCTTGAAATCGCTATCAAACCGCACTTCGACGACGTGGCCACTAGCATATGCATTCTCACCTCGTTCAAGTTGCTTAGGGTGATCGATGCAAAAATTATGGATCATCGTCATCGAAACCACGTGTTTGGATCCCATTATATCAAAATCTAATAAAAAACAAAAAATAATTCAGATAATTGGAATAATTTATTTTAATAATTATAAAGGACACGCATGCAAAAGCTAGGTTATGTCAAATTTAGATAGTATTAATATTTCAGTTATTACTACCCATTTGTCTTGCATGAATGCATTTATAAGCTAAATTAACTACACTCTTACCAATTT